AGTGCCCGCTTAAGGGCCCCGAATTTTTTTTGGATTCTAGATGCTCTGTGGTGCGATCTGAGGCAATTTCTGACCACTTTAACCAATGTTTTTTGAGGAAAAGATGGTGGTTTACGCATTGCCTGCCTTTATTGCAAAGTCATCTAAAAAAAAAAATTGATTCGTTTGGGGGGAGGGGGCATGGCCCCTTTTGCCCCCCCCCCCCCCCCCCCGATCCGCCCCTGTACAGTGTTAAAGGTGGGAAGACAACCCCAGAAGAATATTCTGGGGAAAACCAACATGACCGATAGAATCTGAAAACCCCATCCATGTGGACCAGGACAGGAATTGAACCTGGGCCACAGCAGTGAAAGGCGAGGACAGTAACCACTGCGCCAACTTGACCCCCTTAAAAAAAAAATGGGGGGGGGGAGGGGAACTTTCCAAAAAAAAAAATTCCCTGGTTTGTTGTTGCCGGATAAGGATTTCTTAGTTGATGAAAAGCTTGCCAAATTACTGAAGGTCTACCGCGCAGTAATGATGAAAACTTCGTAACGAGCTGAAAAAAATGGTTTCTATGATCGGGAAATCTAAAGGGAAAATTGACTTGATTGTTGCAAGATCAGTTGAAAGTGATACAAGTGTTTTTGAGAAGGCAAAAAATAGAAGCCACAAACAGAACAGATAGTTAACGTGATGTGGGAAGTTACAGCTCAAACCACTGCCAATAAAAAAAAACAACCGAACCCTAAATGTGCAAGCTCTTGACAGGAATTCCATAAAAACCGTTTAATAAATCAAGGTGTTGAATGATATGCCTAAGTGTTTGGCAAGTCTGATGAGTCTGCTAGCATCAGCAGTACGAGGAGGTGGGGGGGGGGTGTCCACCGATTATCACAGCCCTAGCGACTCTTCTCACTGAGTGCCGGTCCAGTTCGTGCCGTTCAGGAAACCCGATTCGTCGGCTCGGCCTTTTATTATAGTCATAAACCGTTTTCTGGTCTTTGGCAAGAATGTTTGGAAGTCGGTTTTTCGGCAACAGACAGAAAGTCTTTATTCTTGTCTGTTGTGTATTGCGCAGCAGGTGGGGCGGGGGGAGTTGAAGACATAAAAACTGGCAAACGGGGGAAAAATAAAAATAGGGATCTGGACAGATTATGGCCGTGTGATTTATTCCGCCTGTTCAGTGTGTGAAAGGTGATTGTCGGTTGATCGGAATGAGGGATGTGGGTGGATTAAAAGCGGTTTTTATTGTTGTTTGAAGTTTTGCAACTGTAAACACACCCTTGGCCTCGTTTGGTAGGCATTTAATTCGTGGGTTTGGTCTAGACTGTTTCATTTATTTCTTCATTCCTTTGTTGCTCAATCTTCATTTGTGGATTATTCAAGCAGTTGATTTGTTCAGGATTCCTGGAAATCAGGGAAAACCTTGAAAATTAGTTTCCATTTTTGCAGTCAGGGAAAACACAGGGAATTTGGGGAAAATTAACCTAATCCCCGAGGCCCTTTCCAAAATTAGTTTCTAAAATTGTCAGACAGTCCTGCCTCAAAAAATGCATTCATTCTCAATCCTCAGAAATCCTCCTCTTCAAACACCATTCATCCTCAATCCTCCAAAATCCATGAATGTGCTTCAACACCTTTCATTCTCAATCTTCAAAAATCCTCAAAAACCGCCAGGAGGATTTTGGAGGATTGAGGTGGGTTAGGGTTAATCACCCTCATGTGCATGCACAACTGTGTTTCCCTGTTACCGTGACATGAAGCTTGTTAACTTGTCTGACACCACCAAGTTCATACGGTACACTGAACATGGAGTTAAAATCTTGTCAGTCAGTCCCTGTCAGTCAGTCAATCGGCCAGTCAGTCATGTACATGTACACAAAGAGGACACTAGGCTGGCCCTCTGGGACCAGCAAAAATTGAATGGGAGCATAAGGCCGTGTCCGAAACGAGCTTCCAGAGCTACGGCTACGTCTATTGTCGGCGCGTCCCCGCGTATTTCCAATGGGTGCAGACCTAGACCTGGTTCTAGACAACTGGATTCGGATGCAACCTATAAGACAGGTCGGTATTATAATTGATGGGCACGCACAATGATATGGGTCATGGGTCATTCGGGATAATCAAACGCTCATTGAAGGCCCATGAACGCGCAAGGAGACGGTCGCATGACGCTCGCGCTTTAATTACTTGCAGAATGGGCATTCGTGTAACATCACGTAACATCGCGTCAGCAAATTTTATCCCAAATGACATTTGATGACCTAGACTACTTCATCGAGATATCAAACTGGCTTATTGGAGTCACAAACTGGGTGGTCATGTACCGGTATTGTCTTTGAGTTCCTTCTGAATGATTCAGGCAATCGTGAATTGCGGGTTTATTGGACAATGTTTCTAGAATTCCCATGATTCAAAAGAAGGTGCCCCAACCACTTGAAGGGATCAAGAGGTCAGTTCCTGTCAACAGGTTTAGGAAGCTGGAATCTTTTGAATCGTCTTTTGAAATTGGGCATTTCATTTTTCTGTGAATTAAAGAAAGGTGTATTCGTTGAGTATCAGACACTATACACAGTGGTAAATTTGTGAAATTTTCCATGTGGAAAACTGTTTTGAAAATTGGGAAAAGGGGTTGAAGACATCATCTTCTGGTGCTGTTTTTTTTGTTTTTAACTTGTGTAGCAGTATGTGTAGTAGTATGGGGTCTACCCGATGTTCCCCAATACCTACGTTCCCCAATACCTATATTCCCCAAAATCCTTAGTGTTAGGGCTGGGGTTGGGGTTAGATGGGGTTAGGGTTAGGGTTGGGGAACATAGCTAGGTACCGGTATTTGGGGTACCTACAATGTATAGACCTGTATATATGCCCCCAGTAGTATACAATAATAGTTAAATGGTTGAAATGTTGAATTAACAGGAAGTGTATATATGCAGCATTTGTTGGAAGGTACATGTACACCCTTTCGATATGCTCCCCCACCCCCACCCCATTCCCCTACCCCACCCCATCCCCCATCCCACCCCCACCCACGCTGGTCGGCCGACCAATGTTGGAGAAAACTGGCTTTTTTCAAAAACTGTTCCTACTTTTTCATATTTAGTTATTCTGCCTTTTCTTTGCAATTGATTACACACCTGTGAAGGGGTACAAGCATGCTAGACTTATTCTCTGACCTTACAATTCCACAAAGTGTATTAATTGCTCCGTTTCATCTTAAGTGGGGTCAGGGAACAGACTAATGATAGGTTTTCTTGGTTTTTTCAGCATCTACAAGCCCAAAACTTGAATTAAGTCAGTTTAACAATATTTTTTAAAACATACTAATCCTCCAAATCCATTTATTTCTGAAAATTGCAGCAAAAACAAATGTTGTACATTCCCTTTAAGAGACGTCCAAGCCCAAACCCTGTCCACCTTAGCTTCTCAAGTGAGAGTTCCCTCAATCTTTCTCAGCCCACCTACCAGCACTGGCAAGTAAACTCACCCTATCAATCACTACCCACCAACATAATCTTGCTCCTGCATTGAGTAAAGGATCCCCTGCCTGGTCGTTGAAGCTATACAAGCTCCTGACGAAATATCCTTTTGCTGAAAAGTCCATGTAACAGCCAAACCCCGATCGCTCCAAAATCTCCCAGTGGACCTATTTTGGAATCGCCAGCCATCTCTAGTTCTTTTTCTTTTTTCTTCATCTTCTTGGCTTTTTCATGCCTTGTGGTGGGACACGCTCTGTCACCAGAGGTATTATTCCCTGCCTTGTTTGGGGTGCTGACATGTGGGTCCATTATTCCGGCTCAACCTCACCCCAAAAATTTAACAAGCTTCCCAGACATTTTTTGTATGCCATGCAAGTCGATTTTGATCCGATTTGAGAAAATTGTTAATAGCTGTAGGATTATGCAATAAAGCCTAAATGCGTACCAGTTTGGATAGATTATGGGTGGATTTAGCTGATCGTAACAGCCAGTTTTCATCGAATTTACTATTTTTTCCCCCTTTTGTTCTCTTACCCTAATCTGGGACCGATATTCTACTTTAGTTAGAAGATTGGGAGACTTGGGAGAATATTGGGGGTGGGGAGTAAATTGATTTTCTGTGTACCATGCAAATTCGTTCAGATCCAGTCTATGGTCAACAATTGCAGGATTATGCAATTAAGTCTAAATGCATACCAGTTGCATTGGATTATGATTGGATTTAACTGATTTTAAGAGCCTGTTTTCATCAAATTTCTCATCTTTTTCGATCCTTATTTCGTCGTATCCTAAGCTGGGATATGCATTCTATTATTATTTTAGTTATGACATTGGGAGGAAAATTGTGCTGATGGCAATATGGGGTACAGTGGTAAACGGGATGTGGAAAAAGTATCTTTGAAGCTAACCTGTGCTTGCATATTGTAGTCTTAAAGTTTGAAATAAACATTAATGTGTTTGGCAATGCATTTTATGCACACTATGGGCGTTGCAAGGGGGTTGGGCAAGGGGGCGTTTGCCCCCCCCCCCCCCCCCCCCGGAAAACAAAAAAAAGAAAAAAAAGGAAAAAGGGAGAAAAAAAAGAAAAAAAGAGGTGTGAAGCCATATTGCTGTTAATTTGATGGGGGGGTGTTAGGGCAAATGCTCCCCTGCTCACGCTCGGAAAAATGATAAATTGTGAAAGTAATGAAAAAGTTTAGGAATTTTGGGGAAAAATCTGCTTCCCCCCCCCCCCCTGGAAAAAATCCTGGCGACGCCCATGATGCACACTTAAATATTTGACTAATCCCCTCCCAAATCTATCTTGGCCCCACCCACCCCATTTCCCTACCCTGCATCAACCAGATTACAAGGTCATTTCAAAGAAGAAGCTAGCAAATAAAAAAAGCCATTACAAATATTGTTCCCTTCTTTATCCCTTCTTTTAGCTATAGGCCCCATCCCTTTTTAGCTATCTTTCATCAACACTTCATACAATCTTTTAGTCTTTGATTTGTCATCAATCTTATTTTGTTTCTGTTTTGTTTCTTTTCTTTTCAGACCCAACGTCGCATCAAGTTCATCCACAATGACATGGAGAGGCCTACCGCATTGGAGCAGTCACCTGTCACTCCTGAACAAGTAAGTGGCGCGTGATGTCTTTGTCTTTACTCTTTCTTTACATGAAGCAAGCAAAACGAAGCTTAAAATGGCACCGGGTTGAGAGGTGAAGGAGATAGATCAGATCAACTCGGCATCAATAATGCACGAATTGTAACTCTGTCCTGTTAACAGGTAATGATCCCACCACGTTAGTTTCATTTGCTTGCCGCTGCCTTTTTCAGAGCAACTTAAAGGGATAATACAACATTTGCAAACATCAAAAAATAAAACTACCAAATCATTTTGAAATACCTTGCTGGACTGTTAGTGAATGACAGTATAAAGCATCCTGTAAAATCATGGCACCTGGTATACTGTCATTTTCAAGAAAAGTGGTATTTTTGTATCAATTTCCAACGCTGATCGGCCGGTCAGCGTTGGAAACAACTGGCTTTTTTTCAAATACTGGCCCCAATTGACCATCGCACTTGTTTGCAATCGATTACAAACCTATGAACGGGTACGAGCCAGCTAGACTGGTTCCCTGACCTTACAATTCCCCAATGTATGTATACTGCTCTGTTCCTCTTATATGGAGTCAGGGAACCAGACTACAGGAAAATGATCGTTTTTCTTGGTTTTTATAGCATTTTCGAACCCAAAACCTCAAAAAAGTCAGTGTAACTATATTTGCTATATATTTCAAACCCCCCAATTCCATCCATTTCTGAAAATTACAGCAAAAGCAAATGATGTATATTCCCTTTAAAGGGAATGTACAACATCTGCTTTTGCTGCAATTTTCAGAAATAAATGGATTTGGAGGATTAGCATGTTATAGAAAATATTGTTAAACTGACTTCATTCACGTTTTGGGCTTGTAGATGCTGGAAAAACCAAGAAAACCTATCATATTCTTGTAGTCTGGTTCCCTGACCCCACTTAAGATGAAACAGAGCGATTAATACACTTCGGGGAATTGTAAGGTCAGAGAATAAGTCTAGCAAGCTTGAACCCCTTCACAGGTGTGTAATCAATTGCAAAGGAAATTTAGAATAACTAAATATGAAAAAGTAGGAACAGTTTTTGAAAAAAGCCAGTTTTCTCCAACGCTGGTCGGCCAACCAGCATTGGAAAAATACACTTTTTCTTGAAAATGACAACACACCAGGAGCCACGGTTTTAAAGGATGCTTTAGACTGTCATTCCCTAACAATTCAGTAAGGTATTACGTGATAATTTGATCATTCCGTTCTTTGATGTTTGCAAATGTTGTATCTTCGCTTTAAAATGCGCTATTTGGATTGTTACAAACAGTATTGATGTTGTGAAAAAATTATTACATTTCTCAGTCTGGATATCATCGTGTATACTGAGAGCATTTTCAATATGAGGCCAACTCTTAGTTTTCAAGTTGATACCAGTGTTGCACATGTAGTTGAGTACATTTCCATAGAGTATGAGTACAAGTACGAGTACTTTGCCTCAAATATGAGTGCAAGTACATTTCCACAAGTAAAAGTACAACTAATAGTACTTTCGATCAGTAGGAGCACATTTCAATGGGTACACATGTTCGCAAGGGCTTTCTGCTTTCAAATTAGGCACTATATAAATTTGGTACATTTCCTGCATGCAGCTCTTAAAATTATTTAAATTTCGGTGAACTGGGTCTTCTGTACTGTCTGCTCACAACGCATGTGGATAGAATGTATGCACATACATGTACATTGTGGCAGTATAATAACCACAATGCTGTACATTTCCTGCATAATATTCTGTGAGACATAAACCATCACTAGTACCCTTGGACAGGGGCAATATATGAATGAAAACAGAAACTCACACAGATGGCAAAATATCTCCCTCCCACCACAGCCATGCATGCGCACGGATCGTGACAGTTACCCACAATGCTTTGCATTTCCTTCCCAATATTTTGTGGGAGATAAGCCATCACTAGTGTCCTTGGACAGGGGTAATAGATGAACGAAAAAAGAAACTCCCACCGATGGCAAAATATCTCCCTCCCACCACAGCCATGCATGCACACGGATCGTGACAGTTACCCACAATGTTTTGCATTTCCTTCCCAATATTTTGGGGGAGATGAACTGTCACTAGTGCCCTTGGACAGGGGTAATAGATGAATGAAGAAAGAAACTCCCACAGATGGCAAAATATCTCCCTCCCACCACAGCCATGCATGCACACGGATCGTGACAGTTACCCACAATGCTTTGCATTTCCTTCACAATATTTTATGAGAGATAAACCATCACTAGTGCCCTTGGACAGGGGCAATAGAAGAATACAAACCCCCACAGATGGCATGTCTCTTGGATGGGATCCCTCCCACCTTGGTCCATAGTTATCCTGTCTGTGATTTACAACTTGTCAGGCCTGCATTGTGGGTCCAACCTGCTACCCTCTCACAAATAAACACCAACAAACAAGCCAGTTCCCTCAGGAACTTGACAAACCCCAAAATAAAACAAAACAAGAGACTGCTAAAGACAGGCTGCACATCCTGTAGCACTTTTGAAGGTTCTGCGAAACATCAGGCATTACATGAAACTCCTAATTAGAAATCGCTGCCTAGCAGATAAATTTGTAAACGATTAGCAAAACTTTTTTGAGGTGTACACATGGGTCAATTTGGCTGCCGTGTTTTTGTGATACAACGATGAGTTACAGAAGGCCGGATAGAAGGCGCCTGCTGAATGGTCAGAATCTGGAGGTCAAGACGCAGTCTTGGTTTGCATGATTAATCGACGAATCAGCGCGAATATCACAGACATTTGTGTGCAAGCGGACATTCCATAGACTACCCAACATGCTGAATCAGACAAAAAAAATATCACTTTGAAATTGGAGACTTTTTGAATTTACCGCAGTTCTCAAAGTTATTTGAGTCTCCGGACCAAATCCGAAACATTTGCATCTAGAGGCCCCTTAAAAAAAAGTTTCACATTCTTGTGCTCAAATCCCCAAAGTTCAGCAGGGGGTTCACTATTAACCCTCCCTGTACACCCCCTAGTCCAACCCCACTAGAAACCCTGACGCAGAACTTACTTTCTCTTTGAAATCGCACGGCTTTAAAGAATTATAGGGTCATTCCATGCCAACTCAACAAATGGTGCACACCATCACCTCTTGGATTTTTTTCTTTTTTGGTGTACTGAAAGATACTTAGGAGAAATGCAAATTCTGAAAATTTGGGGTCTCTACGACTTTTCGTTCTTGCGCAACAGCATTTTGAAATTTGAGGTGGGCGGGGCCAAAAGTGCGTCGCGTCACGAAATTCAATGTTTAAAGGGCCATATATTTAAAACTATACCCCCCAGACATTTCAAACTTGGTAATCTGGGCTACTTTTTGCTGTAGATTTCAAATATTTAAACAGAAAGAAAGTAGCTTGTTTCATTTTTAAGTTAGAGGGGCCCCAAAATGGCCCAAAACTCATCTGGACCAATGTTCGGGGGGGTGTAAGTCAAAAATTTAAAATATTTTTTTCACCAAATTTTTTGCCTGTAATAGCCCCCAATTGAAACTACTTTCATGTAAAATCTTACACTTATATTAACTTCATTGAATGAAATATAGCCCTTGCAAAAAGCAAATTGTTTATTTTTACGACAACTTGACCCCCCCAAAAACCAACGTCAGACATTCCGCACCAAATTTTGCTTCACATATGTTTGAGGTTGGTCCTTAGTGAAGTCCTCTGAAAAGTTTCATGTTGGTGTCTTAATTTCTTCAGTGGATAGCTGGGCTTTATAAAGAGTCTATATCTTATGACGCTGCAGGTTCAGTAACATACATGTGCATGTACATGTACTTGTATTTTACGGAACCAGCACAACAAAATCCCCCGACTGTTGAAAGACTTGGGTCAAGATTACCCATTTCCTGCTCAATAAACAGTTGCTTGTAGACCTATGTGTGCATTATATGCAAATTAGGTTAAATGACTTGAGAGTCTTATTCTTTCCATGTGCTCATCACACAGCATGCATGTCATGTATGTAGTAATTAACCAGTTCTCACTTGCACAACATAGTATAGCATAACCTGAACCAAAGAGAAGTGATTCAGTTTGAGTAGAGGGTCTATGGTTTTAACCTGATTGATCTTAGTTTTCATTATGGATAAGGGGAAACCTAGTTCATCCAAGGAGTTGCATGTGCAAACTCATCATGCACCAATTGTAGCAGCTGACCTCAACCCAGGAAAATATGTTTGTGTGGTCTATGATGATGTTTGGTACATTGCTATTGTAGAAGATGTATCACAACTTCATGAGGATGTGTATGTCTGCTTCATGTACAGGACGGAATCAACAAATACTCTCTATTGGCCACAAAGAGAGGATAAATGTAACATTCCATTTGTTGATGTGTTGTGTTGCGTACCAACACCAGAACTTCTACATAGCGGTGGAAGGCAATACAAACTTAGTGAGCCAACCATCATGCAACTCATTCAACTTCATCAAAACTACATCACAAGGAATGCATAATTTCACCTGTGAAACTGTAAACAATTATATCAACTGTCTACATGTACAAATGTAAGCTAAGTTTCATACCCAACTTATTCTTTATGTACCAACTGCTGTTTTATTCTATGTACGTGTACTTGTATGTTACGGAACCAGCACCGTAAGATATAGACTCATTATAAAGCCCAGCTATCTACTGAAGACATTTAGACACCAACATGAAACTTTTCAGAGGACTTCACTAAGGACCAACCTCAAACATATGTGAAGCAAAATTTGGTGCGGAATGTCTGACGTTGGTTTTTGGGGGGGTCAAGTTATCGTAAAAATAAACAATTTGCTTTTTGCAAGGGCTATATCTCATTCAATGAAGTTAATATAAGTGTAAGATTTTACATGAAAGTAGTTTCAATTGGGGGCTATTACAGGCAAAAAATTTGGTGAAAAAAATATTTTAAATTTTTGACTTACACCCCCCCGAACATTGGTCCAGATGAGTTTTGGGCCATTTTGGGGCCCCTTTAACTTAAAAATG